TCTTATTTATTTATTCATAAACAGGATATTGCTTTTCGAATCGTTAATCGAGAATGGGAGTATTCACATAAAAAGGGATTTAAATCGAGCTTTGATCGTGGAGTTTTACAACTACATTTCCATTTTAAACGTCATTATTATCGACGTTAATAAAGACATCCTTAATAGTTTATTAAGGATCTGTATCTCGATTATTATTCTATTACAAAGATTTTATGGGATTCGATGTTTAAAACCTTCAATCAAAATTTATACTTTATTGAAAAATTTCTTGGAAAAAATTAATTATTCTCATGATATTTTAGTTTGAGGTCCTGCAAATCCGGACCCCTCCGTATAGGTCGGAACCAATAAAATAATGAAGATCTTCATGTAACAAAGAAAAAAACTAACAAACGTAGCTAACACAAAATTTTATTACAGTGCGGACAACCTAGTCCCAACAAATGAAAAGTTTTAGTGGCCAAATTTAAATTTTAATTTTTATACATATGATACGGCCAAATTTAAAATTTTAACATAAAATGACCAAATTATTAATTTAACAGTCAATTTAATATATGGAGTTGCCAAATTTAACATATAGAGCGACCAAATTTAATGTGTAAAGTGGCCAAATTTGCTTGTTTAACAGTATATTTTAAGTGACCAAATTGCTTGTTTAATTATAAAATTGCCTCGACTTTAATTTCTACTATTTTATTAAAAATAAATTTATAAAAAATTTAAGACCATCAAGATGTTTAGTTTGCATGGTTTTAATGTTCTATGAAGAGATTTTATGTTTATTGTTTTTTATGAACAAGGATTAGCATTTTGAAATTAGCCAAATTTGTTTGTCGGGACTAGGTTGTCTGCACTGTATGATAATCTACATTCGAGCTCTAAGTAAAAATTTTCAGAATAAAATTTTACATATAGAACCATTCTTTTATATAACAAGTAAATAAAAAGCGTCTGTAAATATCGAATTGATCGGAGGACTGGATTTGCAGGACATAAAAGTTAGTTGTCGAAATATTATATAATTTAAAATTAAAGTCATGAATATTCACAATGTAATTTTAATCGAAACCTGGAAAATTTGTTTAGATACTGCTGTAAGAGTGATCTTAGATTATCATTATGCTGTAAAATATATTACTAAATAAATTAAAATAGAGGCGATTATATATCCATTTGATTCTCGAAACTCATCAACTATGCGAAAGGCTATCAGCCAACCAGTAGATGCGTGACTTTTTTTAAATTAAACAAATACTTGTAAACCTTATTTAATTTTGAACATCGCTGTATCAAAAAAAAAACTGGTGAGATGCTTAACACATCCTACTAAACATCGACAGGTTTTATTGTAATGTACGCGCTTTGTTTAGATCTTTAGTTATCATAAATACTTTATCACGTAATCCAATTCATCTAGCAATGGAAATATAGCATCTCCAATATTTTTCTGCTGTGTATAAATAATTAATATACTCGATGGAATCTAAACATCTCTGTCAATCCGCAGTTAAAGATTCTAAACCAAATTTTCTTTTTAATTTTACGAAGAATGATTGTATGCGTGGTGAATAAGCTTTTTATTATATTTAATATTTGGAATTTGAATTATATTGACGAATAGTAAATGGTTGTATAAAAATTGAATTATCGTTAGAGTTAATCTGCTCTTCAATTATCTCATGAACTTATTTTCTCCTTTACTGTTTCAATTTTGCAAACAGCATATGATCATAAATTCAGTATCAAAATACGACTAAATCCAACTTTTAACAATACTTTTTCCGTGCATACTATTATTATCTTTGGTTTTTTTTATTAATTGATTAATATTGGTTAAACATTTTGTTATTAGTTGATACTTCCTCAATGTAAATAGACACCTACTTAAAATAAATATCAAGATAAAAAGTTTACAAGCACAAATCAATAATTCGTGTGATATTAAGGGGAAGACTAGGCTTCGATCATACGTATATATTTTTATATGATCAAAGTCTGGTTTTTCCTTGGCATCAATCCATATGTGTAAATTGAGCGGATTGGATGAATGAATATGTGTAAATTGAACAGATTGAACCACCAGCCATAATTAATGAACGTTGATATGACTTTATGACCAATAATCAACTATGGCCTATGACCAAAAAGTCATATGATTATGTTAAGAACATACCAAAAAATATTTTAACTTAGATCATTTGGCCAATGGCTACGCATAAATAAGCCATTGTAATTATAATGCAAGAATAAAAAAACAAATTCATGACATATAAAAAACCATGGTCACCGTTTTTTCGATAATATATGTAAGAATAACATAGCAAAGTGCAACTTTTATGACTGTTGTTGATTGCTTGTCTCTTCCTGTGGAGTAAAAATAGGTGGATTACCATATCTTTTGATCGCAATGATTGCAGCAGTTGATAATAATATAAGTTCATTAGATGTTGGTGATGGCATTACAGATGTCGCAGAAATTGATTGGAGCTGTTTGGTAGGTCATATGATGTAGACCATTTATAATTATCTTTTTGACTTATATCGAGAAGAAAGACATCATTTGTGAAATTGCTGCTTACGTATTAAATAATCATTTATAATTCTGTACTTATGATCATTTCCAAATGCAATTAGAATACTAGTAATAAAACGGCGACGTTTCATAGGCCTGGAGCCTTATGTATTAGGTGTTCAAATAATTCAAATTTGAATAAAAATTTTAACATTGTTACTGAGTATTTAAAATATAACTTAATGAATATTTTATAAGTATGTATTGATGCGCATGTGAAAAGACAAACTCCAATTTAATAATTTACAAAGAAAGTAATCTCTGCTCTTCAGCTAATCTTTGTTGTAGACGTGTACTTTCTCCCAATTTTTGTAATCTATCATAAGAAAAAGTACTACTGAAAAGAAGATCAGAAAGAGTACGGACTCTTGATACAGCTACGAATGTAAGACCTATAGCAAATTCCTTATTGCCAATGTCTAATACAGTTCGTGATAATGTTAAACCTTGCGACTTGTGAATCATAATTGCCCAAGCAAGGCACAATGGAAATTGTATATGAGAACAAGTTCCAGATTTTCCTTCCCATGTATACCTAATTGGGCGAATCGGCACTGCTTGCGAACCATTTGATGTAGTCAGTGTTGGACCTGTATAATTATCCATTTTGCGCAGTATTAGTGTAGGCAATGTGGGAGGTATCTTCTCTAGTTCATATATAATATTGATGACAATTCCCATTGCACCATTAACCAATCTGTAATTAGTCCAAATATTAGAGGTAAGCATTATACGAGCACCAATTGATAAAAATAAAATTGGTTCAAGGCCATTTGTCATATCAGAAGATGCTTTTCTAGCATTTGGACCAGTATGTACAGCCTTCATCTTGGCAACAGACAAATTAAGTTGTCTTAGTTTCGTCAAATTGTATTCGTGAACTTTTTTCCATTTTGTAAATAATCGAATTGCATTTTCAAAAGCATTTTTTGCTACTGAAGGTGCTAATGAATAAATTCTATTATTAAGTAACTGCCAGTCATATTCTGTTGATTGTCTATTTCGTAAATGTAAAAGAAGATCACGAAATATGTGCTGTTCTTCAGTATCACCGCTTTGTCGTTGTATTATTTCTAATTTGAATGCTTTATTAAATTGAGCATAGATCATGTGACCTGCTTCTGAAAGAGAATCATTTGGTCGAGAATCTGAAGCATACATAGAAAGGTCTAAAACTGGTGGCAACTGGCCAAAGTTACCAAAAAACAATACTGAGCAACCTCCAAATAAAATATTTTGGTTTTGTGAAAAAGCCTAACATAAACATTGATCAATTACTGCTAGAAGTCTACGTCCAATCATGCTTTTTTCATCAAAAACAATAATTTTAATGTTTTTTAATTTTTGTTGAAGCTTTCTTAAAGATTCAGGGTTGAGTTCTATATTTTTAAAATTAATAGGTAGAGACAATGTTGAATGAATTGTGCAACCATTTATATTAAATGCTGTGACACCTGTTGGTGCGAGAATTAAGATAGGTGGTTCTTTCTTTGGATCAATTTTATGTTCTCGTACTATTTCAAATATACGATTACAAATGGCCTTAATTACATAGGATTTATCAGTACCAGCAGTACCCATAATAATAGTACGTAAAGGCTCAATTGATTGGTTGGTTGAATTTGTTAAAGTTTTAGAATAATGGAAAGTTACATAATTGTAAATTTTCCTTTGTTTGTCATTTAATGTACTTGGATCAATAAAAACCTCATCATTATTGTTATGAAAATTGCTTTTGATCTGATTACGTTTAGCTAGCTTTAAAAATAATTCTGCTTCACTAAGATTCGGAAATATTTCATATGATCCCGACCACATATTATTAGTGTCAATAAAGCGTTCTCCAAGATTATTGGTTGCAGCTTCTAAACACCTTGTAGATATTTGCATCCAAAGTTCTTGAAGCAATGTATTATCATCTTCAAGTTTTTTATATTCGTCATCGTTACTTTCTCTGTCTTCTTCATTTTCCATTAGTTTACCAAGTAAATCATTTCCATCAAGTTCTATTTCAATAGAAAACTGATTATATAGTTCAATCCAATCAATATTAACATTGTCCTGATAAAAATCATTCATGCTTCGATAAGGAATATGGAGAAGAATTTTTAATCTACAGTAATCTTTCTATTTCGGCCCAAAATGAACTGATGACGGGTGAGGCCAAATTCAGATAATACAATACTTTTTGCGGGAAGTCCAATTATGTGTACATGAACTATATATATAACTTTTATTTAAATTAAATAAGGAATATGTTTCAAAAATAGAAGAACGTTCTCAATAGATTTGCTAATGAGAATATTTAGTTCTAATTGATGCAGTATCATTACTTTCATCTTGTTTACTATCATCATTATTGTTATTATTGTTATAAGTTAATCTACGTAATACGCCATCTTCATTAAGGTTAAGTATAAAAAATATGCAGGATGATACAACTAATAGTAATTTAAGAAGAAGATGTGATGTTTCTTGGGCAGAAAAGTCACGTTCAGTTATTGTATGTAATAGAAGCTTTTGAATCGATTTTAAAGCTGGTTATTGGATCTTACATTCTTAAGATAATTTGAAAATATTTCTTTAAACGTATCTGATCGAGGTTCCGATTTGCTAGCATACTTTGCAATATAAGATAGTGCAGCATGAAGAGAAAGAATAGGTTTTATATCGACATTAGCTCTCCACCCTTGAAGCTGAATTCTGGAATATAGATTGACTAATAGATCATTATGACATAGAAATAGTTCTGGTTAATCATTATTATCAGGTTGAATCATAGTAAAATTACATAATTCTTTTGGATAGCCAAACCGACATTCTTCTAAATTTGTCTTTTTATTTAGTACAAGACAAGACAATGAGCATTTTGTGTGCTTTTGAACTTTATTGACTAATTGGCAATAGTCATCAAAATCATCTACTAATTTGTCTAATGATTTTTGACAGGGATGTTGTTCTGAGGTATATATTGTTGTTGTATTTGGATTCATGGCTGTAATAATTGAATCAACATATGCAATTATATTGTTCATTGAATTTTCATCCTGTTGCATAGCATTTCAGTCAACAACTGATGCATTAGAAACTTTTCCGATAACGTGTACATGTGTACTTCCCTGATGCTGCCACTCGTATCGATACCAATAATCACTAAGACCCCACTTTGGTATTAACACATGTTCTAAAAATAACTCAAATCGACACATAAAAAACCATATTGTTATATGTGGATTTTCATTTAGATTATGATAACGTGTTTGAGCAACCTGTACTAAGCTAACATCTATATTATTGCTAGTATTTGGAACAGAGGGAAATGTTCAATGTTACACAAATATTAATATATTTTCACATGATAATTAGCCAATCAAATCATAAGTTTCAAAGGAATAAAAAAATACAAACCGAAATAAAATTAATGCTATAAACGAATTTATTAAATAATTTGCTACCAAGTAAGCAAATATATCTTTATCTCATTTGTTTATTAACTAATAAACAGACTTCGAATCATTAC